CTGTGTGTCATACTTGCTTGCTTGTTACTGTGTGTCATACTTGCTTGCTTTATTACTGTGTGTCATACTTGTTTGCTTATTACTGTGTGTCATACTTGCTTGCTTATTACTGTGTGTCATACTTGTTTGCTTATTACTGTGTGTCATACTTGCTTGCTTATTACTGTGTGTCATACTTGTTTGCTTATTACTGTGTGTCATACTTGCTTGCTTGTTACTGTGTGTCATACTTGCTTGCTTATTACTGTGTGTCATACTTGTTTGCTTATTACTGTGTGTCATACTTGCTTGCTTGTTACTGTGTGTCATACTTGCTTGCTTATTACTGTGTGTCATATTTGCTTGCTTATTACTGTGTGTCATACTTGCTTGCTTATTACTGTGTGTCATACTTGTTTGCTTATTACTGTGTGTCATACTTGCTTGCTTATTACTGTGTGTCATATTTGCTTGCTTGTTACTGTGTGTCATACTTGCTTGCTTATTACTGTGTGTCATACTTGTTTGCTTATTACTGTGTGTCATACTTGCTTGCTTATTACTGTGTGTCATACTTGTTTGCTTATTACTGTGTGTCATACTTGCTTGCTTATTACTGTGTGTCATACTTGTTTGCTTATTACTGTGTGTCATACTTGCTTGCTTGTTACTGTGTGTCATACTTGCTTGCTTATTACTGTGTGTCATACTTGTTTGCTTATTACTGTGTGTCATACTTGCTTGCTTATTACTGAGTGTCATACTTGCTTGCTTATTACTGTGTGTCATACTTGCTTGCTTATTACTGTGTGTCATACTTGTTTGCTTATTACTGTGTGTCATACTTGCTTGCTTATTACTGTGTGTCATACTTGTTTGCTTATTACTGTGTGTCATACTTGCTTGCTTGTTACTGTGTGTCATACTTGCTTGCTTATTACTGTGTGTCATACTTGTTTGCTTATTACTGTGTGTCATACTTGCTTGCTTATTACTGAGTGTCATACTTGCTTGCTTATTACTGTGTGTCATATTTGCTTGCTTATTACTGTGTGTCATACTTGTTTGCTTATTACTGTGTGTCATACTTGCTTGCTTGTTACTGTGTGTCATACTTGCTTGCTTATTACTGTGTGTCATACTTGTTTGCTTATTACTGTGTGTCATACTTGCTTGCTTATTACTGAGTGTCATACTTGCTTGCTTATTACTGTGTGTCATACTTGCTTGCTTATTACTGTGTCATACTTGCTTGCTTATTACTGTGTGTCATACTTGCTTGCTTATTACTGTGTGTCATACTTGCTTGCTTATTACTGCGTGTCATACTTGCTTGCTTATTACTGTGTGTCATACTTGCTTGCTTATTACTGTGTGTCATACTTGCTTGCTTATTACTGTGTGTCATACTTGCTTGCTTATTACTGTGTGTCATACTTGCTTGCTTATTACTGTGTGTCATACTTGCTTGCTTATTACTGTGTGTCATACTTGCTTGCTTATTACTGTGTGTACATACTTGCTTGCTTATTACTGTGTGTCATACTTGCTTGCTTATTACTGTGTGTCATACTTGCTTGCTTATTACTGTGTGTCATACTTGTTTGCTTATTACTGTGTGTCATACTTGCTTGCTTATTACTGAGTGTCATACTTGTTTGCTTATTACTGTGTGTCATACTTGCTTGCTTATTACTGTGTGTCATACTTGCTTGCTTATTACTGCGTCATAATCATTTCTTTACTTTCTTGTTTTAGTCATTATTTTTCTTTCGAATTATATAATTCTTAACTTGATTATCTTCTTGATCGGTTATTGATTAGCATGTTATAGATCGTTAAGATAATCATTTTTATACCTATCAAATTTCTTGATTATCAAGTTACTTGATTATCAAGTTACTTGATTATTTGCTACTTAAGAATAAGGTTACTTGATTATATTGTTATTTGATTTTCAGGTTACTTAATTATTAAGTTATTCAATTATCAAATTACTTGACTATCATTTTAATTTACTTGATTATCAAGTTACTTGATTATCAAGTTACTTGATTATCATTTTAATTTATTGTCGAGGTACTTGATTATCAGATTTCTTGATTACTAAGTTAATTGATGATCAGTTTACGTAATAATCGAGTTGCTTCGTGATCAGGTTACTTGATTATCAAGATACTTGACCAACAGGATACTTGATTATCAAGACACTTGACCAACAGGATGCTTGATTATTAAGATACTTGACCAACAGGATACTAGATTATCAAGGTACTTGACCAACAGGATACTTGATTATCAAGATACTTGACCAACAGGATACTTGATTATCGAGGTACTTGACCAACAGGATACTTGATTATCAAGATACTTGACCAACAGGATGCTTGATTATCAAGATACTTGACCAACAGGATACTTGATTATCAAGATACTTGACCAACAGGATGCTTGATTATCAAGATACTTGACCAACAGGATACTTGATTATCAAGATACTTGACCAACAGGATACTAGATTATCAAGGTACTTGACCAACAGGATACTTGATTATCAAGATACTTGACCAACAGGATACTTAATTATCAAGATACTTGACCAACAGGATACTTGATTATCAAGATACTTGACCAACAGGATACTTGATTATCAAGGTACTTGACCAACAGAATACTTGATTATCAAGATACTTGACCAACAGGATACTTGATTATCAAAATGCTTGACCAACAGGATACTTGATTATCAAGATACTTGACCAACAGGATACTTGATTATTAAGATACTTGACCAACATGATACTTGATTATCAAGGTACTTGACCAACAGAATACTTGATTATCAAGATACTTGACCAACAGGATACTTGATTATCAAGGTACTTGACCAACAGAATACTTGATTATCAAGATACTTGACCAACAGGATACTTGATTATCAAGATGCTTGACCAACAGGATACTTGATTATCAAGATAATTGACCAACAGGATACTTGATTATCAAGATACTTGACCAACATGATACTTGATTATCAAGGTACTTGACCAACAGAATACTTGATTATCAAGATACTTGACCAACAGGATACTTGATAATCAAGATACTTGACCAACAGGATACTTGATTATCAAGATACTTGACCAACAGGATACTTGATTATCAAGATACTTGACCAACAGGATACTTGATTATCAAGATACTTGACCAACAAGATACTTGATTATCAAGATTCTTGACCAACAGGATACTTGATTATCAAGATACTTGACCAACAGGATACTTGATTATCAAGATACTTGACCAACAAGATACTTGATTATCAAGATACTTGACCAACAGGATACTTGATTATCAAGATACTTGACCAACATGATACTTGATTATCAAGATACTTGACCAACAGGATACTTGATTATCAAGATACTTGACCAACAAGATACTTGATTATCAAGATTCTTGACCAACAGGATACTTGATTATCAAGATACTTGACCAACAGGATACTTGATTATCAAGATACTTGACCAACAGGATACTTGATTATCAAGATACTTGACCAACAGGATACTTGATTATCAAGATACTTGACCAACAGGATACTTGATTATCAAGATCCTTGACCAACATGATACTTGATTATCAAGATACTTGACCAACAAGATACTTGATTATCAAGATACTTGACCAACAGGATACTTGATTATCAAGGTACTTGACCAACAGTATACTTGATTATCAAGATACTTGACCAACAGGATACTTGATTATCAAGATACTGTACCAACAGGATACTTGATTATCAAGATACTTGACCAACAGGATACTTGATTATCAAGATACTTGACCAACATGATACTTGATTATCAAGATACTTGACCAACAAGATACTTGATTATCAAGATACTTGACCAACAGGATACTTGATTATCAAGATCCTTGACCAACAGGATACTTGATTATCAAGATACTTGACCAACAGGATACTTGATTATCAAGATACTTGACCAACAGGATACTTGATTATCAAGATACTTGACCAACAGGATACTTGATTATCAAGATCCTTGACCAACATGATACTTGATTATCAAGATACTTGACCAACAAGATACTTGATTATCAAGATACTTGACCAACAGGATACTTGATACTTGACCAACAGAATACTTGATTATCAAGATACTTGACCAACAGGATACTTGATTATCAAGATACTGTACCAACAGGATACTTGATTATCAAGATACTTGACCAACAGGATACTTGATTATCAAGATACCTGACCAACATGATACTTGATTATCAAGATACTTGACCAACAAGATACTTGATTATCAAGATACTTGACCAACAGGATACTTGATTATCAAGGTACTTGACCAACAGAATACTTGATTATCAAGATACTTGACCAACAGGATACTTGATTATCAAGATACTGTACCAACAGGATACTTGATTATCAAGATACTTGACCAACAGGATACTTGATTATCAAGATACTTGACCAACAGGATACTTGATTATCAAGATACTTGACCAACAGGATACTTGACTATCAAGATTCTTGACCAACAGGATACTTGATTATCAAGATACTTGACCAACAGGATACTTGATTATCAAGATACTTGACCAACAGGATACTTGATTATCAAGATCCTTGACCAACAGGATACTTGATTATCAAGATACTTGACCAACAGGATACTTGATTATCAAGATACTTGACCAACAGGATACTTGATTATCAAGATACTTGACCAACAGGATACTTGATTATCAAGATACTTGACCAACAGGATACTTGATTGTTAGGTAAGACACAGGATACTTGATTATCAAGATACTTGACCAACAGGATACTTGATTATCAAGATACTTGACCAACGGGATACTTGATTATCAAGGTACTTGACCAACAGGATACTTGATTAACGGTTCATGTTACTTACCATTAATAACATGAGTGTGATGTGTGAGGTGAGTGCGTGTTGACGACGTGTCGTGGTTGCCAGGGCGACGACGGATGGGACGACAAGTATCACGTGGATGGTGCCTGGGTTAACCTGAGACTAGTTGACGAGAACGACAACACTCCCACCTTCCTGGTCCGGGACCACGCCCACCTCACCCTTCCAGAGGACACCCCAGCCAACGCCGCCCTCACCACCTTCACCGCCCACGACCTGGATGCGGTGAGAAATTAATGATATATTACAAGTACATGTACAAGGTATACAAGTACATGTACAAGGTATACAAGTACATGTACAAGGTATACAAGTACATGTACAAGGTATACATATCATAGCTGACATCAATGACATACTACTACATAGAAAGTCACTTGTTATGCTGAGTATTTCCCGCAAATTAGGTCAGTTTTGTCCCAGGATGCGACCCACACCAGTCCACTAACACCCAGGTACCCATTTTACTGATATGTGAATATGGACAGCAGGTGTCTTATGGAAACGCCCTAAAGCTTCCACCCATACCGGAGATTGAACCACGGACCTTAGTGTGGGAACCAAGGCCGCTAGCAATCGAGCTACGGGACACCTTTGCACTGTCTGATAACGCGTTCAGGGAAACCGGTTAGCCGGACTTGAGTCCTGGAAATGGGAAGTACAATGCCGGCACTTCAAAGGAGGGGTTCCTGATATTGGCAGTTTGGGTGGACGTCTACACTGTCGTATCTGAGCGCCTCTGCAAAGGCAGTGATTATGTATCAGTAATGGTGAAAGTGTTGAATGATGATTTTTTTTTTCCTTTTAGGTTTTTCTCTCTTTTCGGGTCACCCTGCCTCGGTGGGAAACGGCCCATGTGTTATGTTCGTCGTGTTACTTCATGTCTGGCTGAACATTATCAGTCCATGTTGTGTTTATCAGGGCTTCGAGTAGTTTATGTCGTGGTAATATCTTTAGTTCTACTCTCCACGAGATAGACATGACCTCCTGTCTATTCAGCCATCACATCTTTTGTAGAAGATTAAGACACATGCGCAGCACACACACACACACACACACACACACACACACACACACACACACACACACACACACACACACACACACACACACACACACACACACACACACACACACACACACACACACACACACACAAATATAGAATCCCACAGTACACTACCAGGTCCCCCACCCTCACAGACCCCCAAAAACAATGTTGGAGAGGAAACTGAAGGTCTGGTACACCAACGCTGATGGAATAACAAGTAAGTGGGAGGAGTGGCACGAAAGAGTCAAAGAAGCATCACCGGACATCATAGCTTTCACAGAAACCAAGCTCACAGAGATGATAACAGATGCCATCTTTTCAACGGGATATCAGATCCTGAGGAAAGACAGAGGGAACAAGGGGGTGTAGGAGTGACACTGCTGATCAAAAACCGATGGAATTTTGATGAGCTGGAGAGAGGAGGCAGTGGAGAAGCAAGAGATTACATGCTAGGAACACTTCAGTCTGGAGGCCCCAAGGTGGTAATTACAGTGATACACGTATAACCCTCCACAGAACAGCAGGAGGCCAAGACAAGAGTATGATGAGAGTAATAGAGCGATGGTTGACACACTAGTTGCAGTGGCCAGAAGGGCTCATGCTAGCAGGGCGAAGCTACTGATCATGGGTGACTTCAGTCACAAGGAAATCGATTGGGGGAACTTGGAGCCACATGGGGGCCAAGAAACGTGGAGGGCTAAGATGATGGAGGTAGTACTGGAAAACATCTTGTACCAACACATAAGGAACACTACCAGAGAGAGAGGAGAGGATGAACCAGCAAGACTGGACCTAGTATTCACCTTGATTAGTGCAGATATTGAGGACATGACATATGAAAGGCCCATTGGGGCCAGCGATCATGTGGTCTTAAGCTTCGAATACACAGTAGAGTTACAAGTGGAGGGGGAAGCAGGAAGAGCCGGGCGAATGAAGCCAAACTACAAAGAAAAGGGACCGTGGGAATGAGGAACTTCCTGAACGGGGTTCAGTGGGACAGAGAACTGGCAGGGAAGTCAGTAAACGAGATGATGATATATGTAACAACAATATGCAAGGAAGCTGAGGAGATATTTGTACCCAAGGGAAACAGGAATAATTAAAAAGCCAGGATGAGCCCATGGTTCACAAAAAGGTGCAGGGAGGCCAAAACCAAATGGAAGAAGCATAGAAGGCAAAGGACCCAGGAGAATCAGGAGAGTAGTCGCAGAGCCAGAAATGAATATGCACAGGTAAGAAGGGAGGCCCAACGACAATATGAAAACGACATAGAAGCGAAAGCCAAATCTGACCCGAAGCTGTTATACAGCCACATCAGGAGGAAAACAACAGTCAAGGACCAGGTAATCAGGCTAAGGAAGGAAGGAGAGATAACAAGAAGCGACCACGAAGTATATGAGGAACTCAACAAGAGATTCAAAAAAGTGTTCACAGAAGAGACAGAAGGGGCTCCAGAAAGACGGAGAGGTGTGGTACACCACCAAGTGTTGGACACAATACACATAACCGAGGAAAAAGTGAAGAGGCTTCTGAGTGAGCTAGATACCTCAAAGGTGATGGGACCGGATGACATCTCTCCATGGGTCCTGAGAGACGGAGCAGAGGCGCTATGTGTACCCCTAACAACAATACTCAACACATCTATTGAAACAGGGAGATTGCCTGAGGCAGACATGAAGCACTAAACTACAGACCAGTGTCACTGACATGCATAGTATGCAAAGTCATGGAGAAGATTATCAGGAGAAGAGTGGTGGAACACCTAGAAAGAAATGAGCTTAACAACAGCCAACACGGTTTCAGGGACGGGAAATCCTGTCACAAACCTACTGGAGTTCTATGACAGGGTTACAGCAGTAAAACAAGAGAGAGAGGGTTGGGTAGACTGCATTTTCCTGGACTATAAGCAGGCGTTTGACACAGTTCCACGCAAGAGATTAATGCAAAAACTGGAGGACCAGGCAGGGATTGTAGGGAAGGCACTACAATGGATCAGGGAATACTTGTCAGGAAGAGAGCAGCGAGTCATGGTACGTGACGAGGTGTCAGAGTGGGCGCCTGTGACTAGTGGGGTTCCACAGGAGTCAGTCCTAGGACCGGTGGTGTTTCTGATATTTGTGAACGACATGACGGAAGAAATATACTCTGAGGTGTCCCTGTTTGCAGATGATGTAAAGTTGATGAGAAGAATTCAATCGGATGAAGACCAGGCAGAACTACAAACGGATCTGGACAGGCTGCAGACCTGGTCCAGCAATTGGCTCCTGGAGTTCAACCCCACCAAGTGCAAAGTCATGAAGATTAGGGAAGGGCAAAAAAGACTGCAGACGGAGTACAGTCTAGGGGGCCAGAGAATACAAACCTCACTCAAGGAAAAAGATCTTAGGGTGAGTATAACACCAGGCACATCTCCTGAAGCCCACATAAACCAAATAACGGCTGCAGCATATGGGCGCCTGGCAAACCTCAGAACAGCATTCCGACATCTTAATAAGGAATCGTTCAGGACCCTGTACACCGTGTACGTTAGGCCCATATTGGAGTATGCGGCACCAGTTTGGAACCCACACCTAGCCAAGCACGTTAAGAAACTAGAGAAAGTGCAAAGGTTTGCAACAAGACTAGTCCCAGAGCTAAGAGGTATGTCCTACGAGGAGAAGTTAAGGAAAATCAACCTGACGACACTGGAGGACAGGAGAGAAAAGGGGGACATGATAACGACATATAAAATACTGAGGGGAATTGACAAGGTGGACAGAGACAGAATGTTCAAGAGATGGGACACAGTAACAAGGGGACACAGTTGGAAGTTGAAGACACAGATGAATCACAAAGATGTTCGGAAGTATTTATTCAGTCAGAGTTGTCAGTAAGTGGAATAGTTTGGGAAGCGATGTACTGGAGGCAGGATCCATGCATAGCTTTAAGAAGAGGTATGATAAAGCTCATGCAGCAGGAAGAGTAACCTAATAGCGGCCAGTGAAGAGGCGGAGCCAGGAGCTGTGACTCAAACCCTGCAACCACAACTAGGTGAGTACACACACACACTGAGATAAACTTTTTGAAAGGAGAGTAATGGGTGGACAATAACACAGCTGGAAGTGCAGTCATAGTGCTGTCAGTGGTGACAGAGTGCAGTCATAGTGCTGTCAGTGGTGACAGAGTGCAGTCATAGTGCTGTCAGTGGTGACAGAGTGCAGTCATAGTGCTGTCAGTGGTGACAGAGTGCAGTCATAGTGCTGTCAGTGGTGACAGAGTGCAGTCATAGTGCTGTCAGTGGTGACAGAGTGCAGTCATAGTGCTGTCAGTGGTGACAGAGTGCAGTCATAGTGCTGTCAGTGGTGACAGAGTGCAGTCATAGTGCTGTGAGTGGTGACAGAGTGCAGTCATAGTGCTGTCAGTGGTGACAGAGTGCAGTCATAGTGCTGTCAGTGGTGACAGAGTGCAGTCATAGTGCTGTCAGTGGTGACAGAGTGCAGTCATAGTGCTGTCAGTGGTGACAGAGTGCAGTCATAGTGCAGTCAGTGGTGACAGAGTGCAGTCATAGTGCTGTCAGTGGTGACAGAGTGCAGTCATAGTGCTGTCAGTGGTGACAGAGTGCAGTCATAGTGCTGTCAGTGGTGACAGAGTGCAGTCATAGTGCTGTCAGTGGAGACAGAGTGCAGTCATAGTGCTGTCAGTGGTGACAGAGTGCAGTCATAGTGCTGTCAGTGGTGACAGAGTGCAGTCATAGTGCTGTCAGTGGTGACAGAGTGCAGTCATAGTGCTGTCAGTGGCGACAGAGTGCAGTCATAGTGCTGTCAGTGGTGACAGAGTGCAGTCATAGTGCTGTCAGTGGTGACAGAGAGTGCAGTCATATTGCTGTCAGTGGCGACAGAGTGCAGTCATAGTGCTGTCAGTGATGACAGAGTGCAGTCATAGTGCTGTCAGTGGTGACAGAGTGCAGTCATAGTGCTGTCAGTGGCGACAGAGTGCAGTCATAGTGCTGTCAGTGGTGACAGAGTGCAGTCATAGTGCTGTCAGTGGCGACAGATTGCAGTCATAGTGCTGTCAGTGGTGACAGTGCAGTCATAGTGCTGTCAGTGGTGACAGAGTGCAGTCATAGTGCTGTCAGTGGTGACAGAGAGTGCAGTCATAGTGCTGTCAGTGGTGACAGAGAGTGCAGTCATAGTGCTGTCAGTGGTGACAGAGTGCAGTCATAGCGCTGTCAGTGGTGACAGAGTGCAGTCATAGTGCTGTCAGTGGTGACAGAGTGCAGTCATAGTGCTGTCAGTGGTGACAGAGTGCAGTCATAGTGCTGTCAGTGGTGACAGAGTGCAGTCATAGTGCTGTCAGTGGCGACAGAGTGCAGTCATAGTGCTGTCAGTGGCGACAGATTGCAGTCATAGTGCTGTCAGTGGTGACAGAGTGCAGTCATAATGCTGTCAGTGGTGACAGAGTGCAGCCATAGTGCTGTCAGTGTGACAGTGCAGTCATAGTGCTGTCAGTGGTGACAGAGTGCAGTCATAGTGCTGTCAGTGGCGACAGATTGCAGTCATAGTGCTGTCAGTGGTGACAGAGTGCAGTCGTAGTGCTGTCAGTGGCGACAGATTGCAGTCATAGTGCTGTCAGTGGTGACAGAGTGCAGTCATAGTGCTGTCAGTGGTGACAGAGTGCAGTCATAGTGCTGTCAGTGGTGACAGAGTGCAGTCATAGTGCTGTCAGTGGTGACAGAGTGCAGTCATAGTGCTGTCAGTGGCGACAGATTGCAGTCATAGTGCTGTCAGTGGTGACAGTGCAGTCATAGTGCTGTCAGTGGTGACAGAGTGCAGTCATAGTGCTGTCAGTGGTGACAGAGAGTGCAGTCATAGTGCTGTCAGTGGTGACAGAGAGTGCAGTCATAGTGCTGTCAGTGGTGACAGAGTGCAGTCATAGCGCTGTCAGTGGTGACAGAGTGCAGTCATAGTGCTGTCAGTGGTGAAAGAGTGCAGTCATAGTGCTGTCAGTGGTGACAGAGTGCAGTCATAGTGCTGTCAGTGGTGACAGAGTGCAGTCATAGTGCTGTCAGTGGCGACAGAGTGCAGTCATAGTGCTGTCAGTGGCGACAGATTGCAGTCATACTGCTGTCAGTGGTGACAGAGTGCAGTCATAATGCTGTCAGTGGTGACAGAGTGCAGCCATAGTGCTGTCAGTGTGACAGTGCAGTCATAGTGCTGTCAGTGGTGACAGAGTGCAGTCATAGTGCTGTCAGTGGTGACAGAGTGCAGTCATAGTGCTGTCAGTGGCGACAGATTGCAGTCATAGTGCTGTCAGTGGTGACAGAGTGCAGTCGTAGTGCTGTCAGTGGCGACAGATTGCAGTCATAGTGCTGTCAGTGGTGACAGAGTGCAGTCATAGTGCTGTCAGTGGTGACAGAGAGCAGTCATAGTGCTGTCAGTGGTGACAGAGTGCAGTCATAGCGCTGTCAGTGGTGACAGAGTGCAGTCATAGTGCTGTCAGTGGTGACAAAGTGCAGTCATAGTGCTGTCAGTGGCGACAGATTGCAGTCATAGTGCTGTCAGTGGTGACAGAGAGCAGTCATAGTGCTGTCAGTGGTGACAGAGTTCAGTCATTGCGCTGTCAGTGGTGACAGAGTGCAGTCTTAGTGCTGTCAGTGGTGACAGAGTGCAGTCATAGTGCTGTCAGTGGTGACAGAGTGCAGTCATAGTGCTGTCAGTGGTGACAGAGTGCAGTCATAGTGCTGTCAGAGGTGACAGAGTGCAGTCATAGTGCTGTCAGTGGTGACAGAGTGCAGTCATAGTGCTGTCAGTGGTGACAGAGTGCAGTCATAGTGCTGTCAGTGGTGACAGAGTGCAGTCATAGTGCTGTCAGTGGTGACAGAGTGCAGCCATAGTGCTGTCAGTGTGACAGTGCAGTCATAGTGCTGTCAGTGGTGACAGAGTGCAGTCATAGTGCTGTCAGTGGTGGCAGAGTGCAGTCATAGTGCTGTCAGTGGTGACAGAGTGCAGTCATAATGCTGTCAGTGGTGACAGAGTGCAGTCATAGTGCTGTCAGTGGTGACAGAGTGCAGTCATAATGCTGTCAGTGGTGACAGAGTGCAGTCATAGTGCTGTCAGTGGTGACAGAGTGCAGTCATAGGGCTGTCAGTGGTGACAGAGTGCAGTCATAGTGCTGCCAGTGGTGACCGAGTGCAGTCATAGTGCTGTCAGTGGTGACAGAGTGCAGTCATAGTGCTGTCAGTGGTGACAGAGTGCAGTCATAGGGCTGTCAGTGGTGACAGAGTGCAGTCATAGTGCTGTCAGTGGTGACAGAGTGCAGTCATAGTGCTGTCAGTGGTGACAGAGTGCAGTCATAGTGCTGTCAGTGGTGACAGAGTGCAGTCATAGTGCTGTCAGTGGTGACAGAGTGCAGTCATAGTGCTGTCAGTGGTGACAGAGTGCAATCATAGGGCTGTCAGTGGTGACAGAGTGCAGTCATAGTGCTGTCAGTGGTGACAGAGTGCAGTCATAGGACTCTCTGTGGTGACAGAGTGCAGTCATAGGGCTGTCCGTAGTGACAGAGTGTAATCATAGGGCTGTCAGTGGTGACAGAGAGCAGTCATAGTGCTGTCAGTGGTGACAGAGTGCAGTCATAGGACTCTCTGTGGTGACAGAGTGCAGTCATAGGGCTGTCCGTAGTGACAGAGTGTAATCATAGGGCTGTCAGTGGTGAGAGTGCAGCCATAGTGCTGTCAGTGGTGACAGAGTGCAGTCATAGTGCTGTCAATGGTGACAGAGTGCAGTCATAGTGCTGTCAGTGGTGACAGAGTGCAGTCATAGAGCTGTCAGTGGTGACAGAGTGTAATCATAGTGCTGTCAGTGGTGACAGAGTGCAGTCATAGGACTCTCAGTGGTGACAGAGTGCAGTCATAGGGCTGTCCGTAGTGACAGAGTGTAATCATAGGGCTGTCAGTGGTGACAGAGTGCAGTCATAGGACTCTCAGTGGTGACAGAGTGCAGTCATAGGACTCTCAGTGGTGACAGAGTGCAGTCATAGTGCTGTCAGTGGTGACAGAGTGTAATCATAGGGCTGTCAGTGGTGACAGAGAGCAGTCATAGTGCTGTCAGTGGTGACAGAGTGCAGTCATAGTGCTGTCAGTGGTGACAGAGTGCAGTCTATGCTGTCAGTGGTGCAGGAGCATCAAGTGCTGCAGTGGTGACAGAGTGCATCATAGTGCTGTCAGTGGTGACAGAGTGCAGTCATAGTGCTGTCAGTGGTGACAGAGTGCAGTCATAGTGCTGTCAGTGGTGACAGAGTGCAGTGATAGTGCTGTCAGTGGTGACAGAGTGTAGTCATAGAGCTGTCAGGGGTGACAGAGTGCAGTCATAGTGCTGTCAGTGGTGACAGAGTGCAGTCATAGAGCTGTCAGTGGTGACAGAGTGCAGTCATAGTGCTGTCAGTGGTGACAGAGTGCAGTCATAGTGCTGTCAGTGGTGACAGAGTGCAGTCATAGAGCTGTCAGTGGTGACAGAGTGCAGTCATAGTGCTGTCAGTGGTGACAGAGTGCAGTCATAGTGCTGTCAGTGGTGACAGAGTGCAGTCTGGTGTGAGGGTGAAGAGGCAGTAAGATGCTGCTGGTGCAGTATGCGTTAGAGCTGAGTGGTAAGCCGGGTCTGCTGAGAGTAGTAGCCGGGTTCTGCTGAGAGTAGTAAAGTGCGGTTTGTGAAGTAGTAAAGCGGTTCTGTGAGAGTAGTAAAGCCGGGTTCTGCTGAGAGTAGTAAAGCCGGGTTCTGCTGAGAGTAGTAAAGCCGGGTTCTGCTGAGAGTAGTAAAGTCGGGTTCTGCTGAGAGTAGTAAAGCCGGGTTCTGCTGAGAGTAGTAAAGCCGGGTTCTGCTGAGAGTAGTAAAGCCGGGTTCTGCTGAGAGTAGTAAAGCCGGGTTCTGCTGAGAGTAGTAAAGCCGGGTTCTGCTGAGAGTAGTAAAGCCGGGTTCTGCTGAGAGTAGTAAAGCCGGGTTTGATGAGAGTAGAAAGCTAATCTAGCACATGATATGTAGTAATCTGGTTTATACATTTGGAATAGTAAAGCCGGTTTGTAGATGTAAGCGGGATCTCTGGTGTTAAACCCGGGTTAATTAAAGCGATGGGAGAGACTCACTAGAAGTACTTGATGAACGGGATTAGACTATGTAAATCCGGGTTCTATTATTGAATAGATTTGGCACAATCATAGCTTTTGAAGTTAATATTGAATTATGAAGCGTGAAGCATGGTGGGTCGCACATCTGGATTTTTTGAGACCTGTGGTATAATTAAAACCCATGAGTATGAATCATGAAGTGACGTCACAGATGGAAGTACTTAGGATAGAGTGGTATTGAGATCTCTGTGTAACACAATCCGTGCCTGTCATCTTATCATTAAGAAGTTTGCAATCATTGACTTTCATGAAGTTAAATACTAAAATTATATAGTGAAACCTTGCGTTAGATGAGGCGATCAGTCCCATGTCTGGACAATTCTTGTTTAGCATCGTCTATTATTAGATACACGAATAGTTGTACCTCGAATCCTGTAGTCAACGAAGATGCGTCTGTAAGTTTACGTCACATGGGCGGGGCTCTAGGGAAGAGTGAGTAACACATGTCGTGGAGGTAATCATGTGTAACAAGATTCTTGGGCAGCGCTGTCTCGATCATGATCATTTAGACAGTTACACTATCAGTTACTTACATTATGAGTGACATTACTGCCTAAAACATCTTAGTGACACATTTGCAGTTTACGAGTGCATCTGGCAACGACAGTCACAGTGCCTCTGGCACTTAACCCTTTCATTGTATTCAACCATCGTCTATTTCATTTAAATACTTACAGAATTGTCCTTTACCTCAGTCAGTGGCGCAGTTAATACACAGAAATTCCTGTCTTCCCGTCACGCCTTTCCTCCTTACCTCCACAGGGCGGCTACAGCAGAATCCAGTATAGTATAGCTCCAGCGAGTGATCCTGGCCGGAGGTTCGGTGTAGACGAAGTTGGGGCAGTGCGGCTCGTGGGGGACCTCGACCGTGAGACGACTGCTTCCCACAGTGTCCTAGTGTGGGCAGTGGACGATGGTCTGCCACCCAGAACAGCTACAGCGTTCCTTAATGTGAGTCCCTGGGAAGGCTAAGGTCATTGAGAGGTGTCCAGTGTTTCATAAGAATTTAAGAACAGAGCACACTACAAGAGGCCTACTGACCCAAACTAGGCAGGACTTTAAAATAACCTTCATCACGCTCCTAATTGTCCAGCCTTTTCCCAGAGCTTTCTGAGAATTAGCTTCAATACTTCAGGTACTAATCAAACCCAGACCTTCTCACTCATATATTTCTCCAGTTTCTTTTTAAAGCTATCTACGGTCTTAGTCTCTGTTACCCTAATCTGGAAATAACAAAAAGACACAATACCGTGAGTGGAACAATACACAAATAACTTTGTAAATGGTCCAAGTCGGACCCAAACGTCGTCGTAAGCTCCTCTCTCTCCTACTCTGAAGATTGTTCCACCCATCGATGTTGAATGACCTCCACTGACCAATTGTTTTAATGAAGTTTTCAAGTCGATAATGAGTCACCCTGTTTAACGTCACAAATAACTAACTAAACTCCACAGGTGAACGTAACCGACGTGAATGACAATCCGCCGTTCTTGGCGGAGCCTCAGGAGGTTAAAGTGGCAGAGAACGGCGTTACGCAGGTTGTGGCTCGGCTGCGTCTGGGTGACCCTGATGACTGGCGTCTGGGCCATGGACCACCCTTCACTCTGGCCCTGGATCCTCGGGCTCCTCCGCACATCGCCACCTCCTTCACAGTCACTCTAGATGAAAGTGAGTCATATACAGTCATATACAGTGGTTGACCTCCATTTTTTGGGCCCTTAAGCCTGAATTGTTATGAAGACACCTTCGCAACCTCGTCTCATACAGTAGACCCAAAAATTTTAAGCATTGTGGACTAAAGTCGCTTCAGGGCCCCTCTGGGATTAGGGGCCCTGAAGCGTAAGCTTCATTAGTTTCATAGTAGATCCGCCCCTGGTCATGAAAGCTCAGCTATCAATTTTCTTGCCCAACCCTCAGACTGAATCTTGAAACTAAATAGATGTATTTCGCTTGTTGCGCAGTCTTAGGAAGGTATCCCTCGTAGCAGGCATTTTCTGGCATATTTCATTGTTATTAGCTAAAATGCTTCGATTATCACATGTTTAATAGAAACTGCTGATGACTTACGATTTTTGATACTGGTAGCACTGTATATTACCAGGTCTTACTGCCTCTACTGCCACTATCACAGGTCTTACTGCCTCTACTGCCACTATCACAGGTCTTACTGCCACTACTGCCGCTGTCATGGGTCTTACTGCCACTACTGCCATTGTCATGGGTCTTACTGCCACTACTGCCACTGTCATGGGTCTTACTGCCGCTACTGTCACTGTCATGGGTCTTACTGCCACTACTGTCACTGTCATGGGTCTTACTGCCACTACTGCCACTATCACGGGTCTTACTGCCACTATCACGGGTCTTACTGCCACTTCTGCCACTGTCATGGGTCTTACTGCCACTACTGCCACTATCACAGGTCTTAATGTCACTAACACAGGTCTTACTGTTACTATCACAGGTTTTGCTGCCACTACTGCCACTATCACAGGTCTTACTGTCACTATACAGGTCTTACTGCCACTACTGCCGCTGTCACAGGTCTTACTGTCACTACTGCCACTATCACAGGTCCTAATGTCACTATCACAGGTCTTAATGTCACTACCACATATCTTAATATCACTATCACAGATCTTAATGTCACTATCACAAGTCTTACTGTCACTATCACAGGTCTTACTGTCACTACCCCCATTATCACAGGTCTTACTGCCACTACCACCACTATCACAGGTCATGCTACCACTACCACCACTATCACAGGTCATGCTACCACTAGTGCCACCACCACAATATAACTCAAACCCTGCCACTACAAAAGTACTGACACTTACCCAGTTATCCATCAAGACACTGTCGTCCACCACTCCACTGCCTAATTACAATCAGTACCACAGGCAACGAACTTCAAAATTGCCTGCAGTACCTACCCTTGCTATGTACCTGCCTTTAATGCAATCAAATGATAATTAAAAATTAGAAATAATGTAAACACGATTCGAAAAGTTCTTCTGACTTGGCTTCAGAGAAAGGAAATACCATAGATACGTACTTTCGTAAACTAAAACTCTCCTTTACCCCTTTTATACTTTCTTTGGCAAACGTTGGCTGCTCCAGGTCTGTTTCAGTGTGTGCTTTGATAATTTAAGTGCAAGTGAAGTAGATTTGGTCTTTGTCAGCCTTGGCCTCTTGCAACATGCCTGTTCAACACATATATGGAATGTGATCTCCATTACGGACAAGGGAACACAGCAGAAGCGGAACATAAGAACATGTTGGTAGATAAGACACATAGGCAACATTTAGGCAACTTTATTCCGAAACGTTTCGCCTACACAGTAGGCTTCTTCAGTCGAGTACAGAAAGTAGGCGGGAGCAGTAGAGATGTGAAGACGATGTAATCAGTCCATCACCCTTAAAGTCGTAGATTTGAGGTTGTCAGTCCCTCAGCCTGGAGATGTTCTGTCCCAAAGTCTGGAACTAACTGAAGATCAAGTGACAGTGTTGAGACTTAAATACTGTGGGAAGGAGAGGTGCAGAGTAGTAGTAGTGAGAATGTAGCCACTGAGAGGTCAGGTCCCTCTCAAATCAAATAGTTCTCACTTGAAAAAGTTGTCCAAGGTGTTTTCTCTTCTGTACCAAGATGCCATTTTGTTGCAGTGTCTGACAGTGATTATCAAATGGTATACAATACCGACCATACACTGCAACAGGCCTACTGACCCATGCGGAGCAGGTCCATGTCCCCCCCCCCGGATTAGCCCAATGACCCACCCAGTCTGGTCACCACCACTCAAGGATGGAGCACTGCACCAGACCCAGCAGCACAAGCTAGTCAGGTCCAACTCGCACCCACCCACACCCACTCATGTATTTATCTAACTTATTTTTAAAACTACACAACGTTTTAGCCTCAATAACTGTACTCGGGAGTTTGTTCCACTCATCCACAACTCTATTACCAAACCAGTACTTTCCTATATCCTTCCTGAATCTGAATTTTTCCAACTTGAAACCATTGCTGCGAGTCCTGTCTTGGCTGGAAATTTTCAGCACGTTATTTACATCCCCTTTATTTATTGGGAGCTCGAAGCAGATAAGATACAGTATGACAAGATATGGGAGTCAAAGTTGAGGAAACGTTTCTTCAGTAAAGATTCCCATATGTTGCATAAGTGTCTCAGTTTTTCAACTTGTCGGTTTTCAAAACCATTCACCACATCTGTCAGACACTGCAACATCATGGGGTCTTGGTACAAAGACTTCAACAATTGTCCAAACTTTGGACGACGACCTACTTACACTAGTGACAGGTCCCACTGTGATCCCGCCTCCTCCTGCTTCCACTCACCTGACTGCTTGTAAAGGCTTACTCAGCCCTGTAACAACTTCAGTAAGTATTACCAAGCCCTGTAACAACTTCAGTAAGTATTACCAAGCCCTGTAGCAACTTCAGTAAGTATTACCAAGCCCTGTAACAACTTCAGTAAGTATTACCAAGCCCTGTAACAACTTCAGTAAGTATTACCAAGCCCTGTAACAACTTCAGTAAGTATTACCAAGCCCTGTAACAACTTCAGTAAGTATTACCAAGCCCTGTAACAACTTCAGACAGTATTACCAAGGCTGGCTCCTCCTCAGGAAAATTAATGAATAGAAAAAGAATAATAACAGACAAATATAAACACTATTATTTAGAAATGAAAATATAAAACAATTAATATGAATTTTTTTATCCTACTTGAAAGAGAAATAAAAAATGAAATATAAATATATCTGAATCCAAAGCTAATACAGTTAGACTGAGGTGTCTGGTTGATGTTGACACTGCGTGTTGTAGGAATTGTAGCCGTTGCTGATGATGGTGGGTTCACAGATGTTGAGTGACAACCCAACGACTAGTTCTTCACAGATAGGAACGCAGGTCTTTCACCACTGTAAAGATGAGAGGTAGTTGCCTGAGGTTGACTACACTTAACAGGTACGTAGATAAAATGGTGACGTTCCAGAACTTAGGTAAAGTTCGTCTCCTTCAACACTATTTCTTTGGTTGCCAGATGACCCGAGCTGACATTCCAAGCTAGAAAGAGACAAAGGTTACCCACTGCCTAAGAAATCACTCTCCATGATAAGTAAAGTATTTAAAAAACTTGGTGATTCTCTAAAAAGTACATGGAAATCAAGGCAGAATGAACTGAGTCTTAAAATTGGTTAAAAGTGAAGTTTTTAACCAATATATCCACTAGAACAGAAGCAGAGGCTTTTACTTACAGTTGTGCTGGGAGCTGTGAGTCAAGTGATTACCATTTGGTCGGAGCCCCACACGTCACCTCTCCGGGTGGAGAAAGGGGGGGCGGATAGCGGGAGCTAGACACTGACTCTACCTTAACAAGCAGACGGGCAATCAAACTATCGTCACCATATACTCGCTCGCTACTCCTATCTGTTGAACTTTTCCCTCACACTACAGTATATAAGCCACCTCTCTGGCCCTATGCTGTACTTCCTACAAGAGTGATGGACTGAACACATCGATTCCAGGTTGAAGGACTGATTACCTCAATCTCCTCCTCTCCTTACCCATTTCTACTTTGTATTGGACTGATGAAGCCACTGTGGCAAAACGTTTTTTCAATAATGATTCCTATATGTTGCATAAGTGTCTCAATTCTTCAAATATTTTGTTAGTGGGATGGATTGTGAAGGGCTTGCCTAGTATGGGCCAACAGGCCTGCTGCAGTGTTCCTTCTTTCTTATGTTCTTATATCTAACTGTTGCCCATGTGTCTTAATCATCTTTATTTGTAGATGTATCGCGAAACGTCTGCTCATATAAATACCCAGATGTTGTACCTGTGTCTAATTCATCTTGTCAACATATCATTTATGTATAATTTATCAAGCTTGACAAAGTTCCTGGAGAGCGAAACGTTGCCACAATAAAATGTTACATTAGTTGCACTTTCATTCTTTTATCTAACTTTATACACTACCCAGAGAAAAAGCGGGAAGCCTTAAGACGCTGAGGTAAGTTGTCACCTGCGGTCATACCTGCCTAAGTTCTTGGGAGTTAGCGTGAGCTGTAACCAAGCACCATGGTTTGTTGTAGTTTTTTAGAATCTCAGGTTCAAGTGTTGAAGAAGGAGATTCTACTTTTTCAGGAGGAAAATAGGAAGCTGAAGTTTCGCATTGATGAGTTTGGGAGCGTGAGAAGGATTTAGCTGGTAAGGAGGAAATGGTCACCAGCAGTGATAGTGGCAGCCGCTTTAAGTGGCAAGTGGTTCACAGTTCAGGAAGAAGGAAGATGAGAGTTAATAGAGAAGATGTGAAGGTAGGAGATCGATTCTCTGTTCTCCAAGACGAGTGTACTTCAGTGGTTAGTGAGGTTGAAGGTACCACTGATTCCCCTGCTAATCAAGGTAAGAATATTTTAATAGTAGGCGATTCTCAGGTAAGATATATGGACTGTGCATTCTGTAACAGAGACAGAAAGGTCAGACAGAGAGTGTGCCTTCCTGGAGCTGGTGTTGGTGACATAGTCAGCAGGTTGGATAATATTATGGCAGGTAATGGGAACAAGCCCATTATCTGTCTTAGTGCTGGGGGTAATGACATTGGGAAGGGCAGGAGAGAGGAGCTGCTGGATAACTACAGGTCAGCCAT